AATTACATAGAGACCAGAACATACCCCCTAAATTACATAGAGACCAGAACATACCCCCTAAATTACATAGAGACCAGAACATACCCCCTAAATTACATAGAGACCAGAACATACCCCCTAAATTACATAGAGACCAGAACATACCCCCTAAATTACATAGAGACCAGAACATACCCCCTAAATTACATAGAGACCAGAACATACCCCCTAAATTACATAGAGACCAGAACATACCCCCTAAATTACATAGAGACCAGAACATACCCCCTAAATTACATAGAGACCAGAACATACCCCCTAAATTACATAGAGACCAGAACATACCCCCTAAATTACATAGAGACCAGAACATACCCCCTAAATTACATAGAGACCAGAACATACCCCCTCAATTACATAGAGACCAGAACATACCCCCTAAATTACATAGAGACCAAAACATACCCTCTGCTGTAGGACTTGCCGTCCACCTGTATCAGCAGGACCCGTCCCTGTCTGTCCACACCAACAGCTGTCCTCGCCGACACTATGTTTGTGAATGTCTCCAAAGACCCTACACATACAATTCATTTAACAAATGTAGAAGATCTTTAGCTGATAAACTTTGAAAGAAACATTGAACAGTAAGAGGTAGCCCCACGCTGTGGTATTAAAATGTTATTGGGCTATGAAGAGAAAGATAATTCAAATGTGTTTTCATTGTAAAACCTCAAGTTGTAGACGGTGGTTATGACCAAATAACTTGTAATTTTCTAACAACCAATTTCTGGGCTATGCGTCACACATGGACTGGGTTGATCATTTGTGACCAGGCCCCGAAATCATGAAATGGTCTTAAGTCTGAAATTGTATTAAGTTTTGACTTAACCAATCACAATTAACATCATGAAAAGTGACGTCATACTCATACATGATTGAATAAGCAAAATCTTAAGACAACAATTGTTTCATGATCCTGGAGCTAGGTGGCTCAATTGGTAGAGCATCCCTTTTGGATTACTTTCTCATATATTTAAAATATGCCGACAATTTTTCTCTTCTATGATAGAAAAAATACATGTCATTACCTGTTTCCTGCATATCTGCACATTCTATATTTAGACTTTCCCGGACATAAACTTCTCCATTGCGGACAAGCCAGATCACACCTCCAACCAACTGGAGAAAATCATCTGCGACCAGGTCTATCTCAGACAAGTACCTTTTACAAAAGAAACAGTGTCAATTAGAGCCCAAATTAATCAAAACCTACCTTATCTGGTTCTCATTTAAACACCTACAATCTTATCGAAGATCCAATTTATTCAAGTTAAGAGAAGATTTTATTGTAGTATACATCTTTTTAATGATTCATCGTAACTAAAATCAAACATCTACATATATACAGCATGACATGTGATGTTGTCAACAAATGACTGAAAACATTAACAATTGCATGGTTTTCATTATTTTTGTAGTAACAGGCACCTTTAAATGGATAAATGCAAATGCCAAAAAAAATGATAAGACTGTCGGTATACTCACCCAAAAAAGATTTCACCATTAGCTTTAATTCCAAAATGGGCATTTTGTATTCCCCCAGAATCCTGTATCAACCTTCCATTGCTTACAACATTACCTGTAGTTAATCAAGCTTTATTCAGATCAATGAACTTCAATTAAAAAAAAAAACTTTGTCAGCAAAAAAAAAATACCTTAGCAATTTAATCTCTTAATCTGTACCTTTTATATTATGGCATACAATTGTCTGTTATTGACAGCTCATAATAATGTCTTTTTAATATCAGAATAAATTGTTGGCCATATTTTCAGTGCCTCTGCTCTACTGAAGAGATAACTACTCAGGAGTAAAACTCATCAACCAAAGCCATTGGTAAACCACAACCCAGTGCTGTACCAATCAAGCTCAACAGATTTCCCCTTTAGGAGGATTTACTTCTGATTATTCTGTACTAATAAGCATTATAGTATTGACTGTTATATATTATACAGATATGTAGTATATAAACAATGTAATTTTACAAAGCAATATCATTTTGGTTTAATTCAACTTTTTATATGCTTCAAAAAGCAGGCTGTAAGCTAATAATTATAACCAGTGCCTTGTGATGACCATTTCCTTGTGTGATATAAATATGACAGGTCTAATTTCAAACGAAGTAGTCTGAAGAGTTGCCTTGCCTCAACATATATATACACAATTCATAACTTTTATTTTCTCATCAATCAAGAGAACTTCATCAAAAGCCTGACTGATGATGCTTACAGATCTACTTATTATGGGTTCTAATTTTACAAAATTAAATAAAAAATAAAAGTACTATATTCATTTATTATTTCTGGTATATAACATTTCTTTCAGTAATTGTTTTTTATGGAAATACTTCAACCTCTTTGATACTGAAAGAGTAGACAGAATGCTTTCCTTCAAATAGAAGTATATTGCTCATGTTCTCCCCTTCAGCAAAAGGCCCTAATCTAAAGTCATACAGACACTAGCTGGTACAACCAAAAGTTAAAGGTAAGCTTATAAGGTTAAGGATGTATCATAGATATCACAATAAGGGCATAAATCATCCTCAATATCCAGGGGTTATGCTCACTTTCGCTCTCTACACCCCTGGAATATATATATATATATATCATATATATCATAGCAAAATTGAAGGAACGAAGATAGCTGTTTGATTGGTCGCAGGTAAAAAAATAACCTATCGCTAGGCTGATACCCATCCTTTAAAGATAACAAAAGAGAGATGCCCGACTTCAAAGCATATCAACTTTTACTGTTACGTGACCGCAAGATTCTTTTGATGTATATCAAAGGATCAAACTAGTCTACTTGTCTCATCAACAAGGTGGCGCACACTGAGCCTTCAATTTTGCTATGACATATTCCAGGGGTGCAGAGAGCGAAAGTGAGCGTAACCCCTGGATATCGAGGATGGGCATAAATATGATATAGGCCATAAATTATGACCGTTAGCTACTCAACTAGGTACAACTCATATTAGATCAAGAGTTCTGAGTTTAGAACTCAAGACTGCCATGTTGGTTTACAATTGTTCTTGTCATTTTTTCCACATCGACTCAATAAAGTGACTGCTACACACAGGCCCATCTCGACGTAAAACAACAATTAAAGGAGAAAGGCAACTTGTTCTCACAAGTTGTGCTAAGTTAACCTTTTCAGACTAATTAAAACATGCATATGTAGTCCGATCTTCCAAAATAGTTCTGCAAATTCAAATAAGGACTACAAATCCGTGTTTCAAAGTTCAATAAACAAAGATGAAAGAGAGACATCTGATTCCACGGAATTCTTGATTTAAGTAGAAAGCTTATAGTGTCTCTGTAATGTATCATTAGTTCTGAGGCAGTACAATTTTTGCATTTTCTACAGTATGGTGAATTCACAAATCAAACAGGACAGTGAACATTTTCAATCAAATAAGTGGGAAACCACTCCCCAAAATTAATAACAACATGTATGTATTCAACATGGAGTAAATTAGCTTATAAGCATTACGCTGTAAAATATATTTATAGTAATAGTATATGTGTGCTGTAATTTTAAACAAAATATTTTTAGAGGACTTACCAAGACATGATCCTGATGTTGTATTAAAAAGTCCTGCATTGATTGCTACCATACAGTTCATCTGTTCTGCACTCTTGGTTACAGTAGCTCTATCACCTGTGTTACCATCATGACAACCTCCTTGTGTTAATGGTTCCAGTACTGACAGAGTCTTTAACGGGTTATTCACTACAGTATAATGAATAAATACATTTTTACTGTTATAGAAAGGTCCAATGTCTTCAAATGTAAAACGCGACTCAAACAAAGGAAGTTGAAGATCTTTGTCGTGAAAATCCCTTGCTACCACTGTTGATGATGTCATATTGCCGTATTTGACGTGCTGACATTCTCGTGTGTTTCTGTGGTGATTGTATCCTTCTGGCCGAAGGCTGTGTGTTTCCCAGTAAGTCTCCAGAACTGTGTCTAACATATCCACGTCTGCACTCTGAATATGGGTATCTTGTTTGGGGTTTTGTGTACATGATAAACTAAAATGAAATAAAAACAAGAAAGTTTTAAAACACATCAACAACAAAAATCACTAAATTATTTTCTATTTTGAATTCCCATTTCATTTCTGATTTCATCATTATGTATTCCCATTTTATTTCTTAATTCATCATACATGTATCTGAAAACAGTAGTTACAAGTTCAAGTCAATGAGGTTTATCAAGACAAAAAACATACACAGAAATGTACAATGTCAGCCAACAGTAAAATAGACTGTCAGTCACTTAATGGTTTTATGCATGAAGATAGAATGGATACCTGCATAGACAGCTGGGCAAGTCTTGTTGATATGGGGGCTTGCTAACAAATTGCTTTCCCATGCCTTCCGCCAGTAAAATACAAACTTTTTGTCTACTCCCCAACCCTTCGAGACATATGAGTATCATGTCTATTGCATTAATTTGGACTTAAGATTTATTTGCTATGTATCATATCTAAACCAATTAATATATATGTTACTACATAAATGTCATCTCCAAGGACACATGTACGTTACCACTATTGCACTCATACCTATGAGTTCTGTCGCAGGTTCCGGGAAAAGAAGAAGGAAAGAGATGGTATGACTACAGCCCCCCAAATTTGTGACTGGTCACGGAGGAGTACCAGAAACTCAACAAAAGTATATTGCGTATTATATTATATTATATTATTCAAATTTTTCTTTCTACGCTATTATCATCGGAGGACCTTGCTTCTGTGCTACACACCTGTTTCTGTGCCTCAAAATACTGGCCAGGCATTAATGCTGCGCACATGCCGCAATTTTTAATGTCATCACTTTTGGGGTAGTAAAGGTTAACATATAGGCCCACCTCTGCAATAACATTACAGAAAATGAGGAAAAAAAGCAAGTAAGTTCACACTATTTTACCCAAATACATGTACAAGAGCAGCTTTTCCACTGCTACATGTACCTTTTTATTTGGTTAGAAAACAACATAAATACACAACGTCATGTACATGGAAAAGGTAAAAAAAAATCTATCATTTTATTTGCCACAACACATCATGATCTGCTCAACCAAATCGTGTGACTGTTGCATTGTATTGTTAAACTAAATATCCAGCATCTCTACAGGCAGCACCAAAAAGTATGGGTATAGTGTCCTTATTTGTTTTTCTGTGAATTTCGTTTTCTATTCTAAATAGTAATTTAAGTCCATTATATGCAGAACATTTTGCTGTGACTAAAAGCATAGCAGATACAAAAATCAAAATAATTTTGTCCACAATTTTTCACAATATACGACAGAACAAAATATGATTATAAATTGTCAACTTAAATGAAGTGCATGAGTGCTAACAGACTTTCCAGGTAACATTAAACATTGCTGATAAACGTAAAGCACATTGCTATTTTATACTAATTACTGTATTCGGTCAATTTCACACCTTAACACCCAATGCTACATCTGTTGACATCTACTGGCAGTCAGTACTAAAAATAATTGCTTTGAAAACAAGAGGCCCAAGGGCCTTAGCGGTCACCTGAGTTATATCATAGGTACTGGTAGCTTTATTTTATTGTTTAGATGTGATGTGGAAATCAGCATGTAAACTAAGTGAAATACAATACTTGTCATGTCATCAAAGGATAAGAATTTGAAAATATTGGTAAATGTTCCCTTTGGGGCCCCGCCCTAGCCCCTGGGGATGGGGCAGGAAT